GTTCATGGGCAGGCACAACATGGCATGACCGAATGCTGATATGACCCAACACAATCCATAGTTTTATTTTCAAATTTATTATATCATTTCATTTTATTATTGCATATATAAACAATTGTATACATCAAAATTCATATAAAATAAAATTTTAAGATCTTTTTAATTTTTTGTCTATATTTTTAATTCATGTTACATTTTTCATTAATTTTTTTAAATTTAAAAAAAAAACATGACTTGACCTGATCCGCAACCTAGCCTGACCCAAGGCTTGGCTTATGGACGAGTGTGATCCACGGCATGGCATTGACCCATGTGAGCTCGATCCATAGGCCATGCCGAACCAACCCCCAAAATATGATAGAGAAGGGAAAACACAACCCGACTAATCCCACAAACTGATATGACATAACCTACACTTTACACAAACCACACGCAAGCCATGCCATAATGGCCCAACACGACCCAACACGACCCATGACATAACCTACTCTCAGCCTCATCTCATCCGATAACGAAACCATCTAATAATAAGTTGGATTTTAATTTAATGGATGGGAGGAAATGATTTATCAATAAGTGTGAGTTGAAGAGTTGGTTCTGGTAATTGACTGAATATTAATCTTTGATAATAGAAAGGCTTGAGAACTTAAGTATGTGTGTGTGTTTTGTTGCTTTCTAAATTGAAACAAAAAAAAAAAAAAATGTTTTTGGTTTCTTTTTTTCATCAGTACTCCATAATTTGTTTTTATTTTTTCAAAAAAAAAGGTTTAATCTTAAAAACCATTATCTTGATGATTAAAATCTTTTAGAAATAAACCATCTTAATTTTGCTAATGTATTAATATTCAAAAGAAATAAAAGAGAAAATTGTGACTGTTGGCCAGGTTGTTGAAAACGTTCTTGCGCATGACACGTCAATCCATTCCATTCAATCCCTGTTTGTCTTTATGGTCAAAAAGAAATATTGAAGACAAACTATCTCTTATCCCAAAAGCCCATGCTGCTGGCCATTAAAAGCCAAAAGTTTTTTTTGTTGTTTTCAAATAAAAACAAAAGCATTAATTAATATTGTGGAACCGAACGTCCCCTAATAAGAGTGCTAGTCCTCCATCCAAATCCTACTCGACTTGCGTGGAATGTACGCTAAGATTGGCCATGAAACGTTCTTAGAAAACACTTACAGTCCACTGCCATTCCATTATCAATCAAATGAATCATTGTAACAATCGATCTACTTTTTTTTTTTTTTCAAATAACATGACTATAATGGCAACTGCTTGACAAGCATGTAAACAAAGAACAACTGATAACTACAAGATTGCGATCTGTTGATAGCATGTGCACTGTCGACGGACTGCCCTGTACCGGGGGCGTTTTCCAATATGAATGTCTTTATTTTCACTTGTCTTTAGAATCGTTACATCATGATAAAAAAATAAGAGTATGTTATTGAGCTCTGTTTTTGTTTTCAACAGAAAAAAAAAAAAATAAATATATATATATATATATTAGTTTTTTGAAATTAATAAAATATTGGTTTTTAAAATAAAAATAAATTTTATAATATAGAAATTATATGATTTATGGAACATCATATTAAATAATCAAATGAAAACATGATTTTAAAATCAGATTCTCCAATATATTTTTCGCTTCAGTTTTAAAAACAAAAAATACATACACAACCAACAACGTATTTTTTGTGTTTTATTTTAAAAAACAATCTAATATCAAACAAGATAGTTTTAATTTATTTGTGAAATCAGTAACAAAAAACCATTCACATTGTAAAACGCCCTTACATTCTACTCCATACAATACACCCAATTGGAGTTAGCAATTCCATGGCTCTATTAATTGGTGAATGGATTGTCTTCCTCATACTGATCGTAATGGTACCGTTTCATCAGAGTAAGAAGACAAGTATAACAGAGGGTCAGTAAGTGCACATCACACACACAAAAGCGTATTCCAATTGAATATCGTCTGTCTTGCTAAGATTCTAATCCTCATTGCTGGAAAAGATTTGAGGAATACAGATTTAAAAATAAATAAATAAATAAATAAATAAAAAGATTTACATGCAGTCGGGATTTTGGAGAAGATGGAAAGGTCAGAGAAGAAGAAATTCTGTGCGTCTTATCTGATCTGCAGTAGCTTAGGATAGGTATGGGCTGCACGGAGCGTGAGGACGTAGCTTTTGGGTGACCGGCTACCGGAAAATTGGGTTTTAATATTAGATAAGTACGAGCAATGGCTCGATGCCAGGGTGGAGAGAACCAGAAATACCAAAATGACGGGATGGGGGTGGGTCCGCGGGACAGGGAGAGGAATGGCCAGTTGGTGTTCTTTTATCGTCGTGGGATAGTGTCTGGTCCCACTAAAAACACCCACCAAATACCACCAATTAATCTTTCTTTCATGTGTTCTTTGACAGTTGACAGCAGCTGAGTGCTTCGTAGCTTTTTTTTTTTCCTCTTATGGATTACTAAGCAAAAGCCCATGCCAGGTACACTGGATTAATATCTGTTTCAGAGCCCATAAGTTAGGGCCCATTATATAGATTGGGGGTAGGCCCATGCCAAATGGGTGCAAGTAGGGTGCCCGATTTTAAGAATTTATAGTGCATTGGCTCCAAATGACTACTAGAATTGGTCCAGACCTATTTAAATCTTAACAATTTTTCAATGTGGGCCCACCCAAGTTGCACCCTGGCCATTGACCTAACTACAGAACCTGTTAACTTATTAGATCCAAAAGGCTATTATTTATTTGATCATATGGAGTCTGACCCAAGAATAATTGATTATACTTGGCAAGCCTTTAGCTTTGTATTTTGATCATATATCTACTGATTTTTTGTCCACTTATCACTATAAAATGATAATCTAAGTTATTATGGATAAACCATAGGAAACAAGTTCAAAACATGGGGGATATTTTGTTTTTCACGTGTCATCATTCATATGTATTACACAATCAGTTCAGGGTTTGATCGGGTTAAAATATATAAATGAAACCAGTCCTGTCCCAATAATCGGAACGCAAGATTCAGATTCATACTCTGTATAATAGTGTCACTGTGTTGGATCAGGTGTATCGGGTTGACCCAAACAATTCGGTCTTAATCCAAAAATATATGATTTTGAAACAAATATTTAAACAATAACCAAACGTTCTGTTCAAAGTTTAACCTCTAGTGATTTGAGATTTGAGCTGCACGTGCAAGAGATTAGAGAAAAATGAATTGAGGGAAAAGCCAAAGGCAAACATACCAAGTCCAAATTGTGGCATTGACGTGAGGCCAAGACAATGCATGGATCAGATGGTCCAATTACATCTAATTAATCGTGTACACCCCTTGAAATGAAACCATTTTAGCATAAAAAGTGGGCGAGTGTGTCGTGGCCCGATTTTTGGTGACTAAAGCCAAAACCCACCTAACTCTTGAACCTAAGTTATGTTTGGTTTGAAAGGAAAAGTTAGGAAAAGAAAGGGAAAAATAGGGAACCTATTCAAGGTTTGTAAAGGTTTTCCTACCTTCTCCCTCCTTTTTTGTTAGGATTATAATTAGGATTGAAAGTCTCTGTTGTAATTGTAATTGAATCAGGAGTCTCCGATCCTTGTATACGTAGGAGACTCTTGAGTGTATATATTTGGGTATTGTTAGTGAATAAAATACGATGGTAGAAACCAGAGAAGCTCTGGTTTTACATGGTATCAGAGCAAGGGCACTCTGGAGATCAACGGTGGCAGCAACGATCGATCAGTGGCGACTTCGAACCAGTGATCAGCGGCGACTTCGGATCAGCGATCAGCGGCGACAACGTTCTGCGTTGTGCTTTTCAGTCCGGCGCTGTGTTTTCGGACCGGCGGCGGCACTTCGGTGATCGTTGTCTCCTTCGACTTCGAACAAGTGATCAGCGGTGACTTCGGATCAGCGATCAGTGGCGACAACGTTCTGCACTGTGGTTTTCAGTCCGGCGCTGTGTTTTCGGACAAGCGGTGGCACTTCGGTGATCATCGTCTCCTTCGGTGAACAGCAGTGGCGCTTCTTCTGGTTTCGGACCAGTGATCAACTGCGCTGTGTTTTTTAGTCTGGCGCTGTGTTTTCGGACCAGCGGTGGCACTTCGGTGATCATCGTCTCCTTCGGAGAACAACGGCAACACTTCTTCTGGTTTCTGAAGTATCACTGTTCATCGTCTTCTTCGGTGAACAGCAGCGGCACTTCGGACCAGTGATCAGCGACGACAACGTTCTGCGCTGTGCTTTTCAGTCTGACGCTGTGTTTTCGGACCAGTGGCGGCACTTCGGTGATCATTGTCTCCTTCGGTGAACAGCGGCGGCACTTCTTCTGGTTTCTAAAGTATCACTGTTCATCGTCTCATTCGGTGAACAACGGCGGCACTTCGGACCAGTGATCAGCGGCAACAACGTTCTGAGTTGTGTTTTTTAGTCCGGCGCTGTGTTTTTCACAGACCAAATCAGTGCGGCACTGTGATTTTTCGTAGTGTTCTTCCGGTGAATCAACATTCTGCGGCAGTTTCTCTTCAGCGACACCAACACTATACTCGACATGGTTGAAAACAAGGATCAGGGCGGCAGTCAATGTCCAAGGAACGTGATCTCACCCTATCTTCTATCAACCAAAGACAATCCAGGGAGCGTTATCACATAGATCCAGCTTAGAGGTGACGACTATGATGAATGGGCTCAAGCAATAAGAACAACGCTGCGAGCCAAGAAGAAATTCGGCTTCATCGATGGATCGGTGAAACAACCTTTGGAAGATTTAGTGGAATTAGAAGATTGGTGGATGGTGAATTCCATGCTTGTGTCATGGATTCTGAATACGATTGAACCAAATTTACGTTCAACCGTAACATACACAGAGATTGCGAAGACACTCTGGGATGACATAAAGGAGTGATTTTCTGTTGGTAATGGACCACGAGTCCAACAACTCAAATCCAAGCTGGCAAATTGCAAACAAAGAGGTATGACGATTCTGAATTACTATGGCAAACTCAAGATGATATGGGAGGAATTGGGAAATTATGAGCAATATCCCACTTGTCAATGTGGCAAGTGCAGCTGCGACATAAGCAGGGCGTGGGATAAGAAGCGAGATGAAGAGAAACTTCATCAATTTTTGATGGGGCTAGATGACACGGTCTATGGAGGTGTGTGTTTGCATATACTGAGTACGAAACCCTTGCCAAATTTGAATCGAGCCTATGCCATAGTGGTTCAAGAAGAGCAAGTTCGAACTATGACGCACGCAAAGGAAGAGAAAGCTGAAGCTGTGGCCTTCGCAGCCCACACAGGAAAGAGGCAAAGCGAAGACAGAGACAAGAACACAATATGTACTCACTGCAACAAGACAGACCACGATGTAGAATCTTGTTTCCAACTGATCAACTACCCTGAATGGTGGGGTGATCGGCCGAAAAATAATACCCGTGGAACAGGCCGAGGGCGTGGTGGACAGAAACAACGAACAGGGGCAGGAGGAAAAGGTTGTGACAGCCAAGCTAAGGCCAATACAACCAAAGCCTCGGCGCAAGGCAATACGTCTCAAGGAGAATCAGTCGATGCAGCCAAGACCGGGTTAAATGGACTAAGCAGTGAGCAATGGAACATGTTACTCAACCTTTTGAACACACAAAAAGAAGGGAGTCAACGACTAAGTGGTAAGCAAAAATTGTCAGAATGGATAATAGACACAAAGGCCTCTCATCATATGACAGGAAACCTCGAGTCGATGAGAGACATAAAGAATATCATTCCGTGCTCTGTCGGGCTGCCAGACGGGAAAGCGACGATAGCAGAAAAAGAAGGCACAATTGCACTGGACGATCACCTGAAACTGACTAGTGTTTTATATGTGCCTAGTTTGAATTGCAAATTACTTTCTGTATCACAATTAATTGAGGAATCGAATTATATCGTCCAGTTCACTAACAAATTCTGTGTGATACAGGACCGCACTACGAGGATGCTGATTGGAGCGGGTGAGCAGCGAGAGGGACTCTATTATTTCCAGAGCATTGCATCAACAAGAGCAATGAAGACTATAGAGTGCAGAACGTCGGATATTTGGCATCAAAGGTTGGGGCATCCTTCTTATAGAATTATTAAATTGCTACATTTTCGTACTAAGCATACTGACAGTATTAAGGGTTGTGATGTATGCTTCCGAGCTAAACAATGTCGGGAAGAGTTTGTTCCTAGTAATAATAAAGCATCCAATATTTTTGAGTTAATTCATTGTGATTTGTGGGGTCCTTATAGAACTGCAACTTCTTGTGGTGCACATTATTTCTTGTAGTGGACGATTTTTCTAGAGGCGTTTGGATTTATCTTCTGATTGATAAGAAGGAAGTGGGACAAGTCTTTTGAATTTTTTTTGCTATGGTTCAAAGGCAATTTAACAAACCTGTCAAGGTGATCCGTATTGACAATGGGACTGAGTTTGTTTGCTTGGCTGGTTATTTTGTTGAAAGTGGCATTATTCATCAAACCACTTGTGTCGGGACCTCTCAACAAAATGGGAGGGTTGAACGCAAGCACCACCACATACTCAATGTTGCCCGAGCCTTGCGCTTTTAAGCTAGATTGCCTATTGATTTTTTGGGGGAATGTGTCTTGACCGCATGTTATCTGATCAATCGGACACTGCCCATTCTGTTAAAGGGAAAGACTCCCTATGAAATGTTATTTGGGCAACCTCCTTCTTATGATAATGTGCGAGTCTTTGGTTGCTTAGCATATGCACACAATCCTGGTCATGGAGGGGATAAATTTGTTAGTTGAAGCAAACGATGTGTTTTTGTCGGCTTCTTTTGTTGAAGCCGTAAAGGATGAAAAATGGAGGGATGCTATGCAGAAAGAAATACCGGCACTTGAAAATAATCAGACATGGACTGTGGAACCTTTGCCATCCGGAAAACAAGCCATAGGATGCAAATGGGTTTATCGAATCAAGTATAACGCTGATGGGACAGTGGAAAGATATAAAGCTCGTCTCGTGGTTTTTGGGAACAAGCAAGTTGAGGGAATTGATTATAATGAAACTTTTGCTCCAGTTGCAAAAATGGTTACTGTCCGTACCTTCCTTGCAGTCGCTGCAGCTAGAAATTGGGAGCTTCATCAAATGGACGTACATAATGCATTTTTGCATGGTGATCTACATGAGGAAGTCTACATGCGAATGCCTCCGGGTTTTCAGTCAGATAAATCAGGTATGGTGTGTCGGTTGCGAAAATCTTTGTATGGGCTTGAAACAAGCGTCGTGATGTTGGTTTGCTAAATTAACCGCAGCCTTGAAGACATATGGGTTTCAGCAATCATGTTCAGATTACTCCCTCTTCACCTTTCGTCAGGACATGGTGCATGTGCTTGTTCTCGTATATGTGGACGATATTATCGTGTCGGTAATGATCGTATGGCAATTCAAGTCTTCAAGGAATATTTGAGTGACTGCTTCCATATAAAAGACTTGGGATCATTGAAATATTTTTTGGGCATTGAAGTTGCCCGAAACTCAACAGGAATTTTTCTGTCACAATGAAAGTATGCTTTGGATATTATCTCTGAAGTTGGATTACTTGGTGCAAAACCTGCTCCTTTTCCTCTGGAGCAGAATCACAATCTTGCCTTGACAGACGATGCCCTCTTATCTAATCCTGAGCAATACAAATGCTTGGTGGGGAGGCTTATTTATCTCTCAGCAACGCGTCCAGAGTGGTCTTATTGTGTGCATGTTCTGTCCCAATTCATGCAACAGCCGCAAGAAAGACATTGGGAGGCTGCGTTGTGAGTGGTGCGCTACTTGAAAGGAAATCCTAGTCAAGGAATTCTCTTGCGTTCAGATTGTGACTTGCAGTTATATGCATGGTGTGATTCAGACTGGGCGAGCTGCCATTTGTCCCGACGTTTTCTGTCTGGGTGGTTTGTTATGCTTGGGAAATCGCCGATTTCCTGGAAAACTAAGAAACAACACACTATGGCTCGTTCTTCAGCGGAAGCAGAGTATCGGTCTATGGCCACGGCCACATGTGAACTGAAATGGCTGAAGGGATTGTTATTGGCTCTTGGAGTTACACATTCAAACCCAATACGATTATATTGTGATAGTCAAGCAGCCTTGCATATTGCCGCAAACCCAGTGTTTCATGAGCATACGAAACATATTGAAGTTGATTGCCATTTTGTACGGGATGAGATTCAAAATGGTTGCATACGTCCTGCTTATGTGTCGACTACCGTTCAGCTGACTGACATTTTTACAAAGGCATTGGGTCGCAAAGAATTTGAGTACTTTCTCCGCAAGTTGGGCATTCACAATCTGCATGCTCCAACTTGAGGGGGGGGGGGTGTTAGGACTACAATGGATTACAATTAGGATTGAAAGTCTCTGTTGTAATTGTAATTGAATTAGGAGTCTCCGATCCTTGTATACGTAGGAGACTCTCGAGTGTATATATTTGGGTATTGTTAGTGAATAAAATACGACAGTAGAAACCAGAGAAACTCTGGTTTTACCTTTTTCTATTTTTTCCTTCAAATCAAACACAGCCTTAAGTACCAACTAGGGGGGGCCATCTGGGGGATATTTCTGACCAATACCATAGAGGTCCTTGGCCAAATACCATTTGAGTCGTGTTAGTTTTAGCCCTATCTTTCTCTGTGTGCTTTGTGTTAACTGTCAAGGTTTCAAGGGAAGGGGTTTCAGTGGGTTGGGTTTACATGGGCCTCCGGTCTACATGGTAACAGTGGGTTTTGATTTTGGTAAAATCAAGTTGGGCATATTTCGGTTCAGCCCAACCAGTATTAAGCACAAATTATCACCATAGATCCCTGCTTACATAAGAACCCATATACAGAATGATAGTGCTGATCCTCTAAATGATTCACTCCCAAGCTCCTGTTGTAACTGTTTCTTTAAAGGATAATGGTCCAATATTAAGATTGTGTTTGGTTTGAAGGGAAAGGGATGATTATTTACACGGAGAAATATATTCAATCGATGGGTGGTTTGGTTTGATAGGAAATAAGAGAGAAACAAAAAAATTGAGGTCTCTTAATTATTTCTGTCAAATCATATGAAGTCTAATATTTATTTAGATTTTTTAATAAGAGAAAAATTTATTCAAATATTTGTTTGGATTTTATTGGTAGACTAAAATAACAATAACACTGTTGTTGTGATATTAAACTTGGATCCAAGACAGGGCTGCAACTTGGACTGGGTTAGCCCAAATCCAAACCGAATTCAGCCCAAAAAACTATGGTCGTGTTGAGTTCAATTTAGATTAGGGTTAGGGTTAAAAGTATGAATCTCACTTAACTTTATATTTACATGTTTAAATGTGTATTTACACATGTAAGTAATTATGTATGTGTATTCACTATTCATACATCTGCAACTATTCATCCTTAAATGTATATATTTTATATATTTATGTATTTTTTTATTGCAAGTATTAATATATTTATCTATTTACATATTAAAAATTTTAACTTTAAAGGCGAAGTTCTTCGTTGAATTAATATGAACCCCGAGAATCTTAGAAGCAAGTACATCTAATACAAGGAAAAGGAAATAGAAGAATGGACCAACCCGAGAAAGCGAGACCAACCTGAACCCAACCTGAGCCCAGCCTTGGGTTAAGGTTTGTGTGGCTTCTCAAACCAAAAAGTAATGCCCTTGGATGAGCTTTTATTAATGGTGTAGAATATTTTATTTTATTTCATTTCTACTTTATTCTACCAAGACTTGCCTATGGTCTGGCCAGCCGGTTCTGGCCTCAACTCTGAACCATCTACCAGCAGAGAGTAAGATTACTTACAAATTGCCTACAATTACAGGAAGAAAAGCTGGGGACTCAAAGAGGCAGGCCCGGCCCCTACAAAGAAGTTAAGAACTTAAGGATAAGAAAAAAACCCCTGTTATAGAGAGACCCTTGATATGGATAGTTCATGAGTTCTGACATTAATAAAATGCAAAATAAATTGGAAAAACAAAGTACCAACCAGCTGGTTGATAAAGTCTTCTACTAAGGTCCCATTCGCTTTCGGTAAGTTATTTATCCGGATAAATGTAGTTATGTAGGTAAGTTTTTCCTGGGAAGTGCATTTACCCATGCTCTTTTATTTCTCATGTAAATAAGGTAATGACTATTTTAGCCATAAAAATTCATTATTAAAAAGGTATTTTTGTCCCATTCAAGTCTTGACAACTTTCCCCCTATATGGAAAAGTTATTTGTCCACCTAGGAGATGGTACCCAAGAAAATAAAATTTCCTTAGCCCCTACATAAATCTGAAAAAAATAAAATAAAATTCTTAATTAATGAAAACCAAAATTCTATTGACCAACTTTATCCCCTCTCAAAATCTAAAAAATGAACACCCCCTAAATGTAACAAACACTTGAGATCCATCGGTTCCTGCCTGCACCTGAATTGAGGGCTTATGAATTGGGGGATGGGCTACAAACAGGCTGCAGCATGCATATTCCTACATAATATACTAGTGCATCTGGGTAATGCATCTTTAAGTTGTATCTTAACCACTAGCACCGAATATCAAAATATATATATATCTTAATCACTCGGTACGTACGGTTGACCATTTGTGCCAAACCAACCTGTGTAAGAAAAGATAGGAGCGAAGGGACAAAACAATGGGCGAAAGTGCATTCCCACTCATTCCTCACACCTCACGTACATTAACGGGTGGCACCAACTCTGGTCATACTTGTCATGTATCGGATGTATTTGGGTTCGAAATACTTTTTTACAAGTGTTTTCCAAAATTCCTTTTTTTAATAAAATTTATATATATAAAAACCAAATTTTAAAACTAAAAAGCATATGATAGGACTTGCGAAATGGTAACCTATCTATTTTGATATAGTGAACAACCTTGAATTGAATTAATTGATGACCAGTCCTATCTATTTTGAGCTAGGCTATGGTAGCCTATCCCGAAAATGGATGGAATTATAAACTTGAGATTGTCTTCTATAAGGGAAAACCTGTGCTTACACTGTTTTAATAAACCTTTTTGTAACTTTGCATTGCATTGAGAATATCTCCCCGTAAAATACAACATTTAAGTATAGAGATATTCTTAATGGAAGGCAAGATGGGTTTTGCCCCGACTGAAGCCGAACTCTATGAACTTTCCTATCGATGCAATGGTCAATAGTACGTACCGAGATTTAATGGTAATCGAGGTTTAAGGAAACAGAGATGGGAGGTTGTAGAGTAGCAGATGGGGAAGTAGAGCTCCTACAGAAAAAGGAAAAAGGTTTGGGTGAAGGGAGAGATGGAGAAGAGATGAAGAATCGTGCAATTATAGGATTCTCATGTATGGTTTAATGTTAAAGCCCAACCCAACGGTGGAATCTGTTAAGTTAATCACACATGAGAAGAACACCACTTGTGCAAAGAACAAGTGACGATCGGTGATTCGATCTATACAGATGATCGGGATTTACTAAAGCACGCTTGATCATACAAGTGGTGTTCCAACTTTTAGAACATGAACTCATGAACTGATAAAGCATTACCGACCTAAAAAAAGTCTAGAATAATTCTTCAACTTTTTTTAATGGAATTCATGAAGAACCACCACGAATGATCAATTAATAGTAATAGATAGCAAACAAACAAGCAAAGCCCGTCAGTTTAAAACGTGCACGCAAGTGTCAATTAAATAATACAACCCACGTTTCTCCTCTTGTTTTTATGTAAGCACTAATGGCTTGTTAGTGTGCATGCAGTGCAATTCCCTTATATTTTTTCCTCTTTCGGTAATGGTGCTCTTCGGTTCATGACCTTGCTTTGTGTTGGATGCTTATGTCAAATGCAATCTGATAGCTATTATCTCCATAATCACCTCAGCGTCGGCACTATTAAAACCCTACTCACTCAACTTTTTTCAGTACTAAACTAAGATTAATGTGGACTAATGAAGTCTGTGACTCGAATACAGCCAAACGCCATTCACAGCCGCCTTACCTCACACACTCAGAGCACTAATCATCTTTTATAAATGTGACTTATATACATAGTTTTATTATTTATTTCGTCTCGTAGAGTTTTGGTTATAAATATGTTCCCAAATCCCAATGGAGGGTGGTGGATCACAAACACATTAACCTATACTACTACTAATACATTTGTTGCAGTAAGGCTCTCTCTGCCTGTCAACTTTCCTCTGGGTTTCATCAACGTGAAGCAACCATGAGGAACTGGACCAGTTTTGGTGGTCAGGCTTTGCTTGTATCATTACTGATCTTGTGTTTAGGTATACCAGATGTAGTGAAGTCCCAGTTAAGCACTGACGTCTATGATGCAACATGCCCAAATGTTTTCCAAATCGTTCGGAAAGAGGTGAAGAAAGCTCTCAGGAGCGAAATGCGAATGGCAGCCTCTTTGCTTCGGCTTCACTTCCATGATTGCTTTGTTAATGTGAGTTTTAGGAACCTACCTAGCTTGGTTGATGAGCCTATATATGCTATCTCTCTCTCTATCCCCTTCATCATTACCCTTATTTAATTGTTTATACAGGGGTGCGACGGTTCAGTTCTCTTGGATGGAAGTGATGGCGAGAAGTTTGCACTCCCAAACCTAAACTCAGCGAGGGGGTTCGACGTTGTGGACACAATCAAGAGCGCCGTTGAGAGTGCATGCCCAAAAACGGTATCATGTGCCGATATACTAGCCATAGCAGCCAGAGACGCAGTTCTCTTAGTATGTCCATTTCTTCTTCAGTTTGCTAATTAAGCTTGATTGAGCTACAAACGCAACCAGCCAATGACATTAATTAATTGTTAACGATTGACGACTACTTTAATTAATTTGCAGAGTGGAGGACCTTTTTGGAAAGTTCTTCTAGGAAGAAAAGATGGTTTGGTGGCAAACCAGACAGGAGCCAACAATGGTCTTCCTTCTCCATTTGAATCACTCGATCAAATAACCGCAAAGTTCGCTGCTGTAGGCCTCGACCTCACAGATGTTGTAGCCTTATCAGGTACTTGTAGTGTTGCATCTCCATCTGTTTTTAATCCTGGCCAATCAGTCCTAGACTGATCGATTGAATGAGCTTAATTACTTGTCTTTTTTGTATGTGTGTGTGTGCGTGTGCATAGGTGGGCATACAATCGGATTAGCTAAGTGTGCCACCTTCAATACGAGATTGTTCAACTCTAGTACTAATGGTACTACTGACAAGAGCAGCATGGACGCAGATATGTTGACTGATCTGCAGAACCTGTGCCCACAGAATGGTGATGGCAACAAGACCACCGCTCTTGATCGTAATTCAAGGGATCTATTCGATACCCATTACTTCACCAACTTGCTCAATAACAAGGGTCTTCTCCTTTCAGATACCAGTCTGTTGTCTAGCGACGCAGCCGAAACGCTTGTCGAGAATTATAGCACAAATCCTACGCTATTTTTCAAGGATTTCGCCAAATCCATGATCAAAATGGGGAACATAAGCCCTCTAATTGCACCCAATGGGGAAATACGAACAAACTGCAGGGTCGTCAACTAAATGGAACAATTTGGAAACCCCTTAGATACTCTTCTACTTTGCTGACAACTTAGACCAATCGCATTTTCTATTGTCTAGCAATTACTCAAATTATGTGCGTGCTTCTGTTCGTAAAACCATTACTTAATTTCTTGTAATTTACTTCTCTCTCTCTCTTGCTCCAAGTTAAATAAGAAAAAAATAACTCGTTGTATTCGGATATTCAACCTACAATTGTGAAGTTTATTTCCTATATCTGTAAAAGATTACAGCATTTAAACCGACCAGGGCCCAATGAGGAATGATATATATCAGTACCCATGTATATGTAGTTAGGAGTGTCAATGGACCGGTTTTGGGTTGGACTCCGTGCAAATCAAAATCTATTTGAACGGATTGAACGGATCAATAACACATATTGAATTTGAATGGACTGGATGGACCAACGTGACATATTAGATTGGACCTGGTCCGTCATAATGAATTTATATTGGATTGAGCCAATATCTGGTCCCTTGATAGAAGATAAGAACATAGCTGTCAATAGACCAGGTTTGAATTGAAACCAATCTAAATAAATAGGAATTTGAACAGATTAGACAGTCTCTGGACTGGTCCAAAATATTCATTGGACTGGATTGGACCAGGTCCATTTGTAATGGACTCACATTGGACTGGACTGGATTGGACCAAATCTAGTCCAATTGACACCCCTATATGTACTTTGTTACACCTTAAGTCCAAACTAAAAGAAGCTATAAACTTTAACATTTTCTTTGATAAAATAGAAAAAGGTCATCCTTATGATTTAGTTAATTGACTAGCTATATGCTTACTGTTTACATCAATGTTTTCAAACCATCGTTGACCCGGACGGTCGGACCGTTCGGACCAGAAACCGTTCAGGTGACCAGCCCTATTTTACCCCAAATCCGGTTTCTAGTAAAAAACCGTTGAATTAGTCAATGAACCGTTGACCCGGACGATTTATTAACTTGTCACAACAAAATGAAAAGGGAAGAAGATCTCTCAAATCTGAGATCTCTTAGATCTAAGATCTACTGAGAGAGATGTGTGAGACAGTGAAAGAGATTCACATTTAGAGATCTGGGAGAGAAGTTTAGACTCTAGATGACAGATCTACGAGAGAGAGAGTGTGAGATCTGAGACTGAGAAATCTCATATCTACTCTAGTTTTTCACCATCGCCACCGTTGTTGCCTTCAAGCCCTCCTCCTCCTCTTCCTTCTTTGTCTTCTTCTTAACTCTTTCAGCCAACAACTTCTCAAATACCTCTGATTCCATCTTTATTTTCTCTTATATTTATATGGATTTTACTCTAATATTCTAATCTAATGGGTAAGACGGCATATTACTGTTAAAATATTCAAACCGTTCGAACTGTTTGACCCAGACGATCGAACCGCTGACCCAAAAACCGGTGGGCAGAACGGTTCCATTTCCTGATCGATTTTTAAAACCTTGATTTACATATTGTCTTAGAGTATCTCTAAGCTTATTGACAATTGATTAGCTCTATCTCTGATGTTAGCATTCGTTAATGTTCCATCAAAATCGGTATACACGTGACAACATATATGTGACGTATAAACTTTTTATAACCTAATATTATCCTTCGTCCCTTTTTTGTAAGTTGGGTAGAAATCACCACCGGTGAACTGGACTGTTACCGGCTCTCAGAAGAGATATTCGGTTCCTTTCCATTCCCCGTCAAGTTCAATACAATTGATTTTCTAACAAACAAATATAACATGAATTCATGTTTCTTCTCTACAGAGCTTTTTCGTCCTCTTTTAATAATGAAATCGCTTACAGACACCATAATATAATTTCTTTGAACTTCAGCCATTGTAGATGGAGGTCGGGGAGTTGAAAGGAAGGCTGATTGAGATAATCAATTGTGCATAAGAGCTTTGGTGGAAGTATTCTTAGTTGAAAAGCAGGTCTTTAGAAAAGCTCTGAACAAGTAGGATTCTCAATTGGTGCCAACTAAGAATTTCTAGGGTTAACAGCTTTGGTGGATGGAGATAATGCTGAAGGTGTCTCCTCGATCTCTTGGGGATTAAGAAGACCAGAATAACCACTACTACCAGAAGATATGAACCTCGCAAACATGCTCTCTTCTTCAGGGCTTGGAGGAAATCCTCCATCCATCTTCGATATTACCACAACTAAAGTCAATAAAAAACGTAAGCAATGAACTCAGTGGACCAGTGCCTAACTTTTGTTGCTGTAACTACCCTCCAATCGATGCTTCAATATAGGTTGAATGCATTTGAGAAATTTCTTAGAATGGAGGAACTCAAGTGGTTGGACAGCAAGAAGGATGCATGTGGAGACAAAAATATATGGGGACCATTGTTTTTAAAAACGAACTGGTGATTGAACCGGTCAGGAGTCCGGTTACCGGTTCGAATGGTTCGACCGTTCGACCTGAATGGTTGGCCTATTCTGACAAAAAATAAAAAAAAAATTAAAAATTTAAAAAAAATTGAAAAACGGCCAAAACCGTTCGAATGGTTAACCGGCCGGTTCAGCGGTTTGCTGACCAAAATCAACGGTTTTGGGGAAAAACGGAACTGGTCAAGTGACTGGTTCCCAGTTTTCCGGTCTGACCGTCTGGTCTGGTCCGGTTTTGAAAACCATGGTAGGAACGGAAACGGAGCAGCGATCTTCCTATCTTCCAGAATTTTTCATCAATTGGCTTTTATTTTAAAATTTTGAAGAAGTAGGGAGCAAATTTAATATTTCATTTTTTCATTAAGACTTAACGACAATATCAATTGTCAGAAACAGAAGGGTACTCTAAGACAATATCTAAACAATAAGACTATTATTAGTCAATTAGCTAAATTATAAGGCGTAGTTTAAGAAATTTGACTTTAAATTAAATTACTAAAAAGACAAAGCTATATATATAATATATATATAGAGAGAGAGAGAGAGAGCGCTTGGATATCCTACCTCCAAACTTTTTCCACATCCCTACCCACATGACACATACAGCTGTGCATTGGAAAAATCCCCTGACAATCATAGGAAGATGCCAAATCCATGCGTAGGATGCGGTTTATAAGAAGAATTCTGAGGTGGGCTGAACAGTTATTCTCCCTACTATCTATCAAAATAACCATTTTAATCATAAAATATGATAAAAATATAAAAAAAAGAAAAATATTATAATATTTAATAAAATAATCAATTTACATTGGAATATAGGTTCTGAACAAACAAGAATGGAAACCAAGCCAATTATTAATCAGATAAAATCATGAAACCAGAAGTGGCATATAATCAGTTCGATTCGATATAGGCAGTCGGGTATGTAGAACCGATTCAATGACTCATTGACCCCTAACTTGGCCAATTACGCCACTGCGGGTCAAGAGCATTGGATTGGTACTGGTCTATGTTATGAAAGGCATTATTTTGAACAAATGAAGTTAATTCTCAGGCTACAGATTCCAAGGCATTCAAACAAACCAAAAAGCATTTTCTCTTTTTTTTTTTTCCAAACATACTTAATTGTAATTTTCAACTTGTATTCAGAAAATCCAGCTGCATGCCATGGGTTATAGAATCAACGTTGGGTCAATAACGTTCACACCAGAGAGTGGTCAATATGATCAAATATACTGTAAATTATTAGTTCAAAATAAAATAATTAAATTTTTATGAGAAGAACTGAAGAAGGCAAATGTTCACGCCATATGATCACAAATTCAAATTTGAATCCTAATATATTAATTTATATTGACAATAGCTGAGCCGAACGAGCCAGAGCCAACCAGCTAGCTGTGTTGTTAATTATAATGGGTTGCTTGGATCAGACCTATTCAAATTATGTGGTCGAGCTCGGTTCCATCATGGCCATGCATGAAGGCACGAATGGTCGAATTAATTTTGTTTAACAAAAAAAAAGTGAAACGATCTAGATCAAACCATTAAATGCAAAGAAGAGATTCCGTCCAGATCTTCCGTTTACATATTTGGGCCACAACCAGATTGCTTAATTTCAAAAGTGGCATGGAGTTTCCAGGTGGGTTCTCAAATCTCAACTCTCATGGAGCCAGTCAACTATTACTTACAGACTTCGTCCAAGCCCTTATTTTTTTCTTCTCTGACTGAGGTTTATCGACAAATCAACAAGTTCTCAGTCATCAATACCCCACCTATCCATCAAATCGAGAAGCCAAGAACATATAATTATATGAGTTAATTACGAGACCGCGTTATTTGGACAATATTATTCCTACGAAGTTGGACACTTTTTTTTTCCCGTTGAATCTGCAAACTTGGGTTTATAGTTCTTTCAATATGATAGATATCTACGTCGTTGTTCATCGATCGTTTCATGGAATTATAAGTCAAAGATTGTAGCTTCAGACTTAAAGATAATTGACCTAATTAACAAGGGAATCGCATGTAAGACGTTTTTGTGAGTGAGGTAATGGTCATGGCCATTACGATTAATTAACCCCATTTAGAGACAATCAATCGATAAGTTGATGTATACAGAGAAAGCGAGAGTTCCACAGGGAAGAATTATTCCAACTGAACTGAGAGTTATTAATTGTCAACTTAAAAGAAAAGTAAACGCAGCGAAGTTTGCTGACCTCCAAAGGCTCTACCTGGTCATAGCTCCCTGTGCTCCATCTCTATAAAAAGGGTGAAGGTTGCACTGGAAAACGCATCCCATTCAACAGGAAGATCGAAACAAAGAAATATGTCTTCTCAGTTTTCAATGGCGGCAATGGCAGCTCTCTTTCTGGCTTTGATGTTTGCAGGAACAGACGCTCAGTTGAGCGCCACATTTTATTCTAGCACTTGTCCTAACGTGTCTACCATCGTACGTAATGTCATCCAGCAAGAACTACGATCTGATGTTCGAATAGCTGCCAGCCTTATTCGTCTTCACTTCCACGATTGCTTTGTCGACGTAAACTACGTACTCTAGTTGCTTGAGTCATTTCCTCAATTATATACATGCAGTTTACTACTTTGTTGTTTATTTCCATTGCCTAGCTATGACAAAGTATAGGATTGAGAACCCATGCATCTTGTTTCAGGGCTGCGATGGATCGATTTTGCTAGACGACAGCGATACCATCCAGAGCGAGAAAACTGCCCGGCCCAATGATGACTCTGTTAGAGGCTTCCCAGTTGTCGATGACATCAAGACTGCTGTGGAGAATGTTTGCCCTGGCGTCGTTTCCTGTGCAGATATTTTAGCAATTGCAGCGGAGGCCTCTGTTTCTCTGGTCAGTTGGAATATATATATATATATATATATATATATATATCTTTCTGCTTCTTCTCTGGCCTTTAATTGGTCTTCCCATTAATGTGTGCATACATATGACTTTATCAGTACTGAAAACCCATTAATATTAATGCAGTCTGGAGGCCCCAGTTGGGATGTTCTACTTGGAAGAAGAGACAGCAGGACGGCAAACCGACAAGGAGCAAATGATTCTCTTCCATCTCCCTTCGAAAGCTTAGACCGAATTACAACCAAGTTCTCCAATGTTGGCCTTGACACGACTGATCTAGTCGCATTATCCGGTGAGGATCCAACCAAAGAAATTTTATTTATCTAATAAGTCGAATAATCTAATATCACTACCCATAAGTAAATAAAGCTTATCATATAATTTTGGTTATGATATTCTCAGGAGCTCACACATTCGGACGAGCCCAGTGCCGGACTTTCAGACAACGCCTGAACACCAGTAACCCCGACCCAAATCTGGACGCCGACTACTTGGAAACTCTTCGTCAGACATGCGGCGGCGCTGACAACACATTAACCGATATGGACCCTTCAAGTCCGGATGATTTCGATAACAACTACTTCACGAACCTTCAGAACAACCGTGGTCTTCTCCAAACTGATCAGGATCTGTTCTCAACTCCCGGGGCTAACACCGTTGCCATTGTTAACCGCTTCGCAAGTAGCCAGAGCGACTTCTTTGATAGCTTCGTTCAGTCCATGATAAAAATGGGGAACATAAGCCCATTGACGGGGAGCAGTGGAGAAATCCGTTCAGATTGCAAGAGGGTTAATTAAAATTAAGTTGGATCCCAGATTCATTAAGATGAAAGAAAATAAAGTGTAATACCTAGTGGAAGTATTGTTGTTATTGTCTGTTTTGATTCTTTTATCCTGAGTTGAAAAAGCCCTGAAATTTGATTTGATTTTACCATTGATGATAAATATATTAGATTAGCCAGAAATGAGAAATCAAAAGCTGGTACAACTGGAACTTTATTTATTTTGTTTTTAAATCCTCCATGACTGTTTTCATAGCTCATATTCATCCAGAAAAGTGTTCCACTGTAAGATTTATGTAGTATATATCAGTGTTTTCATAACCGGACAGGACGTACGATAGGACTGGAAAAACCGGGAATCTGTTATTTGACCGATTTTGTTTTATCCCAAAATTTTTGACTAAAGACCGTTGTTGATTTGRTCAGTGATCTGCTAACGCAAATAGTTGATTAGTTGAATCATTGAACCATCGTCCCGGATATCGATTTTTAGCATTTTTTTAAATTTTTTTATTTTTTGTCAGAGCAGGGCATCCATTCAGATGAGATGGTCGGAACCGTTTCACCCGAGAACCGGACCCGTAACGGTTTTTCATCCGATCCGATTCTAAAAACCTTGATATATATTTCATTGAACAATCAATAACCTTATAAGACTGCAACTCATGAGCTTTCTTTCAGGCCCGCTGGTCCTGTCAATGGCCAAACTTTGCTTTGTTGCTAACTTGTTTAGAATTAAACCTTTCATCAAGGAGTGGCGAAGACGAGACGCCATAAAATAAGTTGACCTTAGAAATTAGGAAGAGCCCAGTATCTTTGGGCTTTGTGCTTAGTTCTGAATCTTTTGATGCAAAACATCGGAGCTTATGTAAATCCATTAATATGTCAAAGACTCTAGGTACAAGTGAAAATGGGGTTTAGATGCTTAGTAAGAAATCCACCAGTGACCTTCGGTAACGCACGATGTTGTGTCATGGACCTCAAACCCTCTATACAAATCTAAGAATATAGCGTCCGTTGGATCGGTAGCAGATGGAAATTAACACCTTCATTGTCAAAACTTGGAGCCTAAGGTGCCATTTCGTAAGTATTTTTTAGTAGAATTTTTGACAGACTTGACAATCAAAAAATGATGTAAGATTTTGTAGTAAGATCGTAGCCGCTTGAAGACGCTTTGGTTAAAGCGTGTTTTTTGGCACAAAGGTGAAACTTTTCACTTGGAATTTCCTAAACATAGCTCAAAACGAGCTTCTTACATCTTTTTGGGACTATCACAATTAGATATTTTCTCAACTGATGTAGGCACATGTGGCAGGGTCAGAATGGTGCCACATGGCATCGGCTGGATGCAATCTTGGTCGTCCGCTGCTAATATAACCTCCAACCAACTCTCAGGCAAGCTCATGTATAAATAGGAGTATCCCTTCATTGGTAAGATATCTTGATTTGCTCTTAAACTCTTTAGTTCTCCGGTGATTTTGTCTGAGCTCTCTCCTCAGGCTTCCTTTAACCCTCTTTGCATGCTTAACTAACTTGATCGTCAGAATCTTCACCTCTGGGATAACACCCAAAGCCTCTAATATGCTTTCTGCTCCACAGGTCAGACACATCAATCCTCGACTAAAGAAAACATATTTACCTATTTACCCTTGGCCCATCCTCAACAGCAACGACAACCAAATGAAAAAAAGACGAAAAGCTCCACCAAGTAGGCAGGAGCTGACACTTTGATTCCGATGCAATTTTAATCGCACAAGTACAAATACATGAAAGTGCAAAAATGTGAATGTGAAGAATGAAACTTAGACAGCCAATTTTTGGTTTTGCCGTATACTTTGTTTCGATTCAGGCTTTATTTTGTTTCATCCGCACCGCAAACGAACAGACAAAATAAGGTAAAATTAAAATGAAGAAAAACAAAATACTCTCTTACTGTTGTAATTATACACCATGCGGAGTAATGATAGACTATACAATGTGTCAAAACCGCACCGACCGTAATCGTATGTACAATTATCACACCGACATAAACGTTTTGGAAGATGAAGAAGAAGAAGAAGAAAATGGGACAAGTAAACTGCAGTCAACCTATAACAATTTTGAGGTGCAATTCAAAATTTCAAATACTTAGCCCATATAATGGCATCAATTCAGAATTGACATCTACCCTAATTATAATCAGGTGGAACTAAGATTTGTGAAAATGGATTGAACAGTAAAAACCCAAAAAAAAAGAAAAAAATTAGTTCGATTAGATTTATTTCTAGAATTGGAATTGAAATTATCTATTCTTATAAATTGTTTGGTTCAGATGAAAATGGGAGTCAAAAGTGGAATAAAAAAAAAATGGGATCTTATTCGGTTATTTCCAAGGGAAAGGAGGCAAGGGCCATTCTCTCAAATAGGGAAATGAAAATGGAATTTCAATTCCAATTCCAATTCCAGACCCCTAATCCTATTAAATAATAAATGTCCTTGGATTTTAAGTGAAAATTTGGTTACTTGTGTATTCACAACTCCAACATGCATTGTAATTTCGATGCAGTTTCACGTTTCGATCAAGTAATTTGTATCCTTTTGCCTTCGATTTTAAATAAATGAAAATTAAAGCATGCATACTCCCGAAAGGAAAGAGGCAAGTCTTGGGGGTATAGATCTCTTTCAAAAGATCGGAGTCGGCCAGTCGGGAATAAATTCTATTGAGCTTACAAGACAAGAGAGCAAATATTGTTAGGTAGAAAGATGGCTTTTCCCTGACTCATTGTTCTTCCTATTTAATCAATTTGCTCCTTTTGTTACATCAAGAAGCATCCTAAAGATTGGAATTTAATCCTGATTTTATTCTTTATTCTTAGAGAAGAATCCTAATTTGATTAATCACCTGTTGTTGTTTAAGAACATAGTTACTTGAGCTGGCTCTACCCCCACCCCAACAATTTAAATTAAGACCCAATTGCTCAAGCAATCCAAGATTGATAAATTAACCTGTAAAAATCTGACCAACAGGATCTTAAATCTTACGCCCGTCGAAATAATTTTCAACTTTATATAACATGGAACCACTGTCTTCGTTCATAAATCTTAATCAATTGACATGCATCGATCATTATTGGAAGATGTGACTGGTGTTCTAGAAAGGTTGAAATGTGACCAAATATCACTAAAGAAGAGACAAACAACCTCAAAGCCAAAGGAAACTTCCTCTGATTGCGGAGGAGAAACAGACGAGGAACGAGTCAAATACATGAACTCGTTCATCCATCTTACTCTACATCTTCTTCGAAAATCACGTTAAACAAAACTACAAAGACACGTACTTTTTGCTAGCCAATTACTCAAAAACGCGTCCAAACTAGTGATAAAGCAATTAGGTAACAAGTCTTTTATATCATCGCTGGAGTACTGGAATCTTGACTCTGTACGCATGTAAGACCTTTTAAGCAGTAAGGAAATGTTGTCTATAAACCATAAGCTTCAAATTCAATTGACGCAGACTGGAGAGACCCCTCCACTTCACTATTAAATTAAAGTAGGTTACTTACTCCCATTAACAATATATTCCTTCCTTTCTGACTAACTCTACGGTCATAAGTTCTTTAGTTGGATTCCTTCTTGTTAATGAAAAAAAAAATCCCCCAGTTGCTAAATAGTTGTGAATAAGTAGAACATCAAGTATGGACTATATGTCTCTATAAAAAGGTAGTTCCTGGCCTCAGAAAAGCAGCTTAATGAAATAGAGATCCAGGTTTATTTGTTACTGACCGGAGGGAGAGCTAGAAAAACAGAATTATGTCTTCTCAGTTAAGGGTGGCAGCTCTTCTCGTGGTATTATTATTCTTGTTGGAGAGGTCGAGTGCTCAGTTGAATGCAACATTCTATTCTATCTCCTGCCCGAATGTGTCGAGCATTGTGCGTGGAGTCATCCAGCAGGCTTTACAGTCTGATGCTCGAAACGGTGCTAGCCTCATTCGACTTCATTTCCATGATTGTTTTGTTAATGTAAGTTAATTTGAATTACTTTGCTCATGCTAGCTTGCTAGCCGAGAAATTAAAGGTTGCCAGGTGGCAAATATATTTACCGCCTGCCGCCTGCTAATTTGTGTTGTAAATTAATTAAAGCTGATGAAACCCATCCCATTTGTTTGTTTCTTGTTACGTTCCTGGATATATATATATATATATATATATATATATATATATATATAGGGATGCGATGGGTCGATACTGTTGGACAACAGCGGCAGTATTCAGAGCGAGAAAGATGCTGCACCCAATGCGAACTCAACAAGGGGATTCGATGTTGTCGACGACATCAAGACTGCTTTAGAGAATTCTTGCCCTGGCGTTGTCTCCTGTGCAGATATTCTCGCCCTTGCAGCAGAAGCTTCTGTATCTTTGGTATGCTTGCTCCCTTCCTCTTGTATTCATGTTTCAAATTTCAGACATGATTGGAGAATCATCAGGTCCCGACTCGGTTGAATCGCCGAGTTATGTCATGGTTAACCAGAAACAGGTCTCTAAAGTAATAAAATCAACCAAGACTTGGTCTGAATCTAACTGAGATTAACCAATTTTACCAAGTTGGACCGGGTCATGTTGTCCTCCATTTTTCTTAACTATGTATGCGGGTTTTAAGATGTTGGAAATTTGAAATTTTCGAAAATTAAAGAAAAAAAAAACATACACTGAACCCAGTGTATTGTTAATTTTATATACGAGAACCCAGTGATGAAGTGAGAATTTCCAATTTTTCTGATCATATGTGGTTTCAATTTCCTCCCGTCGAGCATTAGAAAAAGGAGTTCGGCGTCGGTCAGTGACAAGCCAGAGTGCTCACACAGTTCGAAGAGCCTCTTGCAACCTTTTGATTTGGGAATATTTGTCATGAAATAAAGCATATGTGTATGGAGATATTCAATGCAAGGCTGTAAAGGCTGTTGAGCCGAAATCGAGAATGTTTGGTTTGAACTTTGAAGGAAAAGGGAAAGACAAAAAACCTAAAGAGAAGTTACATAAAAAAAATCATTTCTAATTTAATATTAAAAGAAAGTACCATTGTCACTTATTCACATAATCATCTTGCTAACTTCTGTCTCAAAAATGTGTTTCTATATAATAGGTGGGAGGTAATTGAGGGACAGGTGTGAACATAGTGGTTATTTATACTTTGTGCATGGCTGGCCTTGGGTTGAGCTTTTGCTAAAATCTAAATGAATTCAGTTCCAAATCTAAACCAAACCCGAAACAGTGCAAGATGCATGTTCATAAGCCGAACCCAAAGTCCGGTCTAATGTTTAACTCCATTAATATAGATAGTATTTGTATGGGTGCAGGCAGGGGGTCCATCATGGAATGTGCTATTAGGGAGGAGAGATAGCACAACAGCCAACCAAGCTGGAGCCAACACCTCCATTCCATCGCCTTTCGAAAACTTAACGGAAATTACAGCTAAGTTTTCAGCTGTGGGCCTCGACACCACTGATCTTGTCGCTTTATCTGGTATGTTTATATCTATCTATCTATATATTAATTTCTATATATGAATTTGCAGTTATATGTTGCCATTTAAAAAATTTCACTTGTTTTAAGTAAATCTATTTTTAAAAATAATTTTAATTCGGATTCCTATCAGGAATTGGCGACCCACCCCGTTGAAATTCCTACTAATCAAAGAATTACAAAAAAAAAAAAATAGTAAAGTAGGGGAAAAATAACCAATGACGGAGGTTGTGTAGGTGCCCACACATTTGGACGTGCTCAATGTCGGACCTTCAGCAGTCGTCTATACAACTTCAGCGGCAGCGGTAACCCGGACCCAACACTAAATTCTTCCTACTTGGCTACACTCCAACAGACCTGTCCTCAAAATGGGAGTAGCACAACATTGGCCAATCTGGATCCCACAACGCCCGACACTTTCGACAACAACTACTTCTCCAACCTTGAAAACAACCAAGGCCTTCTTCTATCGGATCAAGAGTTGCTTTCTACCAGTGGAGCTGCCACCATCTCCATTGTTAACAACTTCAGCGCTAACCAGACTGCATTCTTTCAAAGCTTTGCCCAATCCATGATAAATATGGGTAATATTAGCCCATTAACAGGCTCCAGCGGTCAGATTCGATCGGATTGCAAAAAGGTTAATGGAGGCTAGCTAGCTAGCTTTATACTTGTTTGGTTTTGGACAAGCTTACTAGGTTAGTTTATTAAGGTTTTGCTTGGTATCATATTTTGTAATTTCATCAGGCTCAAATGTTTAGAGAGATAGTTGGCATTTTATATCAAAACACCATGCTTTGATATCAAACTTCTTTGGTTGGTAATTAGGCTGATTAAGCATTGAACAAGTGTATTGTGTGGTGTTTGATATTGGCATTGCTACCTGGAATGTTTGAATGAAATGTTTGTATTCAATTAATTCAGGTAAGTGGATTTATTCATGCTCTTTTATTTCTCTGGTATATAAGAAATGATTATTTTAGCTATAAAAAGCTATTATTAAAAAAGACAATTTTATCCCATTTAAATGTTAAGTACATGGTTTGTAAAATTGACCCGGAGACTGAAACGGTCAGGGGTCCGGTTATCGGGTCAAATGGTCGGCCTATTCTGACAAAAAAATAAAAAACGGTCAAAATCATTTGAACGGTTAACCGCCCAGTTCAGCAGTTTGCTTACCAAAATCAACATCTTTTGAGAAAATTCGGTTTTGGGGGGAAATGGAACCGGTCACCTAACCAACAATTGCTATGTATCTTGATCAATGAGAACCAAAATTCTATTGACCAACCCCTACCCCCCTCAAAATCCAAAAACAAAATGCAATGGCTATTGGGATCTCTGTTGGGCCCTATATTGGAACCCTATATTGACATGAAAGTCGATATAATTTTTCAAAAATGGAAAGTTGGTCGAATACTCGAATTATTCAAAGAGCAAAAGGGTATTGGTATAATTTAGTCCCAAAATCCTATTCTTTAGAATGTATTTGTGTATATTTTATTATTACTCCTCTTTGAAATACATTAAATCTTTCAGAATTTAAAAAGGCTGTTCCTAATTTTTTTAGCTTGAACTCTACTCATTTTAATTTTGTTTACTTTAAATGAAATGCAAGCTTTACAAAATATTTTGCAATTTCAACAAAATAACTTTGGAGTGAAAGGTTAAATTATGTGTGAATAGGGGTGTGATGCTACTCAATCTGAGGTAGTGCACAAATCGAGGAAGGCGATCAGATAGTCCTTGTTGGCAGGTTGGGGCCAAGCTCTAAGGATGAGGCCGCGCTTCAAGATCTACGATCAAGAAAAAAGTCAAAGGCCCGAGGAATTACCCCCGAGTAAGTACTCTGACGTTCAAGTCAGTAGGAGGTGGTGGATGTCTAGACTGAGCTATAGGGATGCTGGTTCAGGCTAATTAGCAATGTGTACGACCTCCCTTTTGGGTCGTGTGGGGTGATCCTTGACCGAACTTGACTTGGCGATGGAGACCACGAAGGGCGGTGTCCTTTTGCCGAGCCTTTCTTTGGCGAGGATGCGCGCTGACTGGTGTGTCTGGCTACGGTAGTCCCGTCCGCGGGAATGGGTAGTGGCGGCGGGCCTTCGGGTCGTGTTCTGCCTCAAATGCTTAGACCGCTCTCCCCTTATGTTTGGCCAACGCGCTTTGGGGTCCGAGGTCCGAGGATCGTCCTTTGTGCGCATTGGGGTGTGAGGGGGGACAGCCCAATTGGGTGGCGCAACAAATCCTAGTGCTTGCATGAGTTCGAAGATCCTATCAACCTTTTCTTGCATGACTCGGAATTGCGCTTGATCTACCGTGGTTGAAGGTTGTGGGACTTCTTGGTGCGGGGAGTCATGGTGTCAGTTCTCCTGAGACGGGGAATGGCCAGTTGATCGTTCAGACTGGTTTTTAGGCATCTTAATCTTTTTCTTAATCGTGCGGCAAGGAACGAGATTTTCGGGGAAGGCTTTTTGTGTCATTTCCACAAACGGTGCCAATTTGATGTTGCTCAATCCAAGGTTGTGCACGAACTGAGGGGAGCAATCAGATAGTTCTTGCTAACAGGCGGGGCCGAGCTACGAGGACGAGGCCACGCTTCAAGACCTGTAACCAAGAAAGGAGGAGTTAGAGGCCCGAGGAGTTATCTCTGGGTAGGTACTCCGACACTCAAGTCAATAGGATGTGATGGATGGCGGGCTGAGCTATAGGGATGTTGGTCCGAGCTAATTAGTAGTATGGGTGTTAGAAGTTGGGGATCCCTTACCTAGAGCATGGGGTACCCTTTTATAGCCGAAGATCTATGTCCTGCTCGGATTGGACTTCCGGGGTTGTCAGGATGAGGTTAGACGCTGAGGTATTCGGGATAGAGTCCCATTCCCCGGTGGAGTCATCTTCCTTATTCCTCTTTATCCATAGTTGTGCTCATCCACGTGATGTATAGTTGACGTGGTTGAAAGGAGAAGATGGGGGGACACCATAATTGCGTAGCTCGGCCAAGCTATGCCGACGTGCCCGAGCTAGGCCGTCGTGGCCGAGCGATAACTAGGTGGCCACATGTCTCGCAGGGCCAGCTCAGCCATGACCCGAACAGGGTGTAACTGTAAACAAAGCAAATTTGGATCGAATCAAGCACGACTTCAATTCTAATTCAAATTTGATTGCAGAAGTTCTTCTGATTCTCCTAGTTCCATCTAGTTTTTTGTTCTTCTTGAGAATGTATTTCTATTTTTTTGTTCTTTATTTGGCCTGGTTGGTATCTATTTGTACTAATCTCTTGAATGAATGAAACATAATTGAAATCTTCAAAATCTATATATATATATATATATATATATATATATATTGAAAAATGAAAACTGAATTCAAATTTGATTAAATAATTGAATATTTAATTCTATTCAAATTCAACCGATTTTGGGTAAATATTATATATAATAAATTAATTTATGCATTTCATAAGTGTATGTTCTAGTCAGTTAATAATAAATAAATGCCCAAAACGGATTAAGGTTATATTATCAAAACATACTTTTAAATTGTTATCATCACGGTAATTATAGATCTCAAGTATAATCGGGTCAGACCCGATTTCTCGATCTGAGATATGTAACCGTCTAAAAAGGGCCTATTTGGGACTGTCGGACTGTCTACAGTCTGTCCCGAGACCAATCCGACCCATTGACAGTTCTATATTGATTCCGTGGAGACCAAACAGACCATGGATTCAATAGATTGATCTTGGCAATTGCATTGAATGGCTCAGATTTTTTTTTTTTTTTTTTTTATAGATGGATCTCCAACTACATGCTTCACTTCATTCATCACGACCGTGTGATGTTTTCTAACGTACACACTAGGTGGCCGTGGGCCATGGCCCATTGGCACAGAAGTGAGAGAGTCCTTCTCTTAACGATTTGTTCCAATCGGAGGGATAGGAACTCTACGTTAAACTATCTTGGATGAGTCAGAATGAAGGCAATCTTTTTTTGGAAGTTGCTAATTTACCGTTTGGCACCTACCAAAATCGTGCGGGAAGATTCATACAAAAAACTTGGAAGCAGTTTCCTAAATCCTAAAGCCAGCCAGCGAAAGGCTGCAGCAGGTGGGCAAGGCCAGAGATTTTGGTAATGGTGAGTCATAATGAAGCAAGGATTTTAGATTGGAAGGGAACTAAGGAGAAGAAAAGCCGTGATCGGAATAGGAAATTTCAGTCAGTCGGAGAGTGACTGCTTATTTAACCCCCATACAGCTTCCAATCCATGTACCACTTGGGCGGAGCTGAGACAGGTCTCCCTGTTAGATTTCTGGGTTTCTTCCAGTTCCAGGATTCGTTCAACTTATCTCTATTGAGAGGGAGCATCCTTTCTTTTCTTTTTCGGGTACGGAAGTTGGATGTTCTTTCATTCTTTGGTTTTTAGTTTTAATTAAGCATTAGATTAATTCGTTTTTCTTTTAAGCATGATATTTGCAGTAGATTACGTTTTCTAGTATTTTTTAGGAATTTAATTAAGTTTGTTTGGTTTTATATTTCAAAAAGAAAGACGATTTTGAGTGGTTTGGCGTTCTTGGCCGTCTTCTAGGTTGGATTTGGATTTCATTCTTACTTTTTAGTAATGGAGAATAGGAGGATAAGGGAACTTGATTTGAATGTTGGACCTTTCGATGCTGAATACGATCAAACATTATCACAATTGATGGCGTCGGAACCTGAAAACCTGTGTCCTGTAACACATGAGCGGATTGAAGCTACTATGTTCGATCCTGAGCGTCAGTTGTCGGTGGGAGAAGCGATTGGCGATGTTGTAGGTGGCCAGGGGTCACTGCAGCAGTCTAGGCAGCGCAATGTAACAGCGGGAGAAGGAGACATCTACGTCAATGGCAATGCTGCCGGTCATGCGACAACCCACGTATTGGAGATTGGCAACGATCACGACAACGAGAATACTGGCGATGGCGGGAGCTTTTTCGAATGCAATATATGCATGGACATGGCGAAGGACCCAGTAATCACCCGTTGTGGCCACTTGTTCTGTTGGCCATGTCTTTATCGGTGGCTGTATATTCACTCGGATTTCAATGAATGTCCCGTTTGCAAAGGAGACGTCGAAGATACAGACATCATACCAATTTATGGTCGTGGAATCAATTCGACGGAGGAGCAGGAGAATGCAGCAGCGGAGCCGAGGCTGATAATCCCTCCTAGGCCTCATGGACGTCGTAGCGAGGGGACCAGCCAGAACGTTCCTGGGGAATTCCCCACCTTTGAGTTTGAGGAATTGTCCGATGGAGATTTTGAAATGACGGGAGGGTGGCCTGGACATCATTTTTCTGCCACCATTTCGATGATTGCTCCTCCTGGTTCAATGCCTATTCGAATTATTAGAGGCACGGGAGAATATCCATATCACTTTTCGTGGCAGAATACAGAGCTGGTTACAATGGATTTCACGCAGGGTGATCCTTCTACCAGTACTGAAGCAGAGGTTAACCTGCGTTATCTTCACATGCAGTTTTTGAGAATTCAAGAACAAAGAGACACTGAATATTATTACTTTACGTCTACTGCAAGTATAGCTCAGGAATATTTGAACCATATTCTGCATCATTCACACTTCAATCAGCGTGCTCAACACCTTGTTCAGCAGCCCCCACATTTTGATCAGCCTGCTCTACACCATGCTCAGCGCTCTCAGCACTTTAATCGGTCAGCTCCATACCTTGCTCGGTATCCTTCGCACTTCAATCAGCCTGCCCCAGACATTCCTTCAAGCTTCAATTTCCATGCCCTAGACTATGTTCAGCGTCATCCAGACCTTAATCTTCCTTATAAATTCCTTATTCAGTGTCCACACTCTAATTATCTTGTTCGATATGACTTTACTGACTGTCAACACTTTTCTCAGCCGCCTCCACACCTTAATCAACGACCTCCATTCTTTACTCAGCCTCCACCACCCGACGCTAGAGTTTCCTTTTCAGACATTGCCGCTGGAGCACGATCAGGAAACCAGGCTGCGGATGGTGCTGTAGAGATGGATTGGATGAGAACCCTATCTGCCTCATCTTCCAGAGGAAGAGCTGCTTACCCGAGGGCTCCAGATGTGAACATTGCAAAGTTCCCTGCAAGTAGAAGAATGTTTAACTGATATTTATCCACATCTACTTATTGTCACAATATTTCTTGAAAGTTTTGGTATCCTTCCAGATTTAGTCACAATGTCTTTTGGGCATTTGTGTGTAAGTTCCAGATTCTGTTAAGAGTTTTGGCTTCAATTGTCAGTTCTCAGAAGTTACTTTTTTCCCCATTTCCTTATCTCCCTTCCCTCACTTTTCTATTTTTTCTTCATCTGCTGCGAATCAATGTATTTGCTTAACCATTTCTGGGTATAAATTTCCTTTTCTATGGATGATGGCTTCAACATTCATTTCCCTTCTTTATGGGCTTGAATTGTTCATTTGCATATCGTGTCTGCTTTTAGTAACATGTAAATTTATCTGTAAGTTTTATATATTTATCTTCAAGATTTATACTTCCATATGTGTTTTCTTTTAAAGGATATAATACACTTGGCTTTGGTGTTCCAAAGTACTTCAGTGCTTGATACTTCGATAATTTAGCTTGTTGGGGTTCTCGGTTTCGTGTATGTTTCCACCTACCTGGCTTTTAGTTTCGAGATTGAGAATAAGATTGGATGTTTGTTGCATTCAGTTAATGGATCCCGTATGGGTTTTGATTGGTTTATCATAATTACTGTTTGTTATGTTTGTTGTACTTTTTTACTTCTGATTCTTTGTCCTTTGCCTACTTCTGGTTCCTTACACACTCAATGTGTAAA